ACGGGCGTGGCTTCCGCGAATCCTTGCCGCGTAATCAACACAATGACAATGTCGCGTCCGTCCTGCTCGCGTGCGCAGCCGAGCCGAAATGTCAGGAACGTCACCGCACCGCCGGAACGGGCCGCAGAATTTCAAATTACCGCAGACGACGACTCGTTTCCACACGTCACCGCTGCGCCTTTCATCGTGCCGATCTCAGTATGCGCTCACAGCATGGCGTTTCCACCTCCGCTTCTTCGTTTTGCCGGAGACAACAAAATTGCAAAATTTGCCGGTGTGGAAAAAAACGGAAGATAACCGCGAGCGTTAATTTTATAAAAAGACGTCGATCTATATAACGAGTTCGTTGTTGCAGGTTGCGTGCTTCGCTTGCTCTATATTTTATGCTCGCACAAGAATAGCTAGCGCCATTAACCTCTCGCCCTCTTAACTCCCCGATTTTCGGGGAAGTGAAAGCTTACGCTGCTATGCCGGCACACACGCTGGCTGTAAGTCCATGAACCGCCATCTTAAGACATCCCACGCTAGCGGAACTGTTGCTTTTTGGATAATACTCCCATGCTACTCTCAGTGCGGCATTAGCGAACAGCTGCGACTGATGTCTACCCCTAGTATTAAGGCCAAAAGCCGTGGCGAATGACCCACGCCCTCGGGGATATGAACATATACACGTGTTATATCACCTTACCTTCCAATCCGAGAACGCGGCGACCTAATAATAGCAAGAATGTGATACTTGAGCATCCCATGCTAATCTTGCTGGGAGCAACCATTATACCTATCACCTATAATAACCTATTACCTATTAACCGATTACTTTCACCTTCTCTGAGTTTGCTACCAGAGTTCCTTTGTCAGTGTTTGCTCTAACGCGGGTTCGTATAGAATAACATCGGGAGTGAATAAGCAAGCACATTTTCAAACGGATTTTTAAACGAATTTTTGTTTTTTGCAACGCCTGATATTACCGTAGGGCTAACCGTATACCGTCTACTGCAACTCGAGTGACTGCGAATGATTAGGGAAATTGGTAATTACGGTATTAAGGTGTCCCGTGCAGGCGACACGCCGAGCATATAATGTTTCCTATCGCGTTCAGCCGATGTTCAAGTTCGTCGAACGTTTTATGTGCATTTTGGAATAAAAACCGACATTGAGTGACTTTCAGACGAACGGCACGGTAGCTGGATTCGGTAACAATCGCTCTTCTAAAGCTACGTAGCGATCTTGCATATATATATATATATAATTTGAGGAGATAAATACGACGATAGAATCACAATTTCCACGTCGGCAATAATGATCATCTTCCTAAACGCCAAAGCTGCATGCAAACACTAAACCTCAGCCGCATGTCGTGTAATAATATACACGCTAATAACGCATGGCTATGAATGGCGCTAAAGGGCTTGAAACAATAATTATGTCTTCTCGTTTGACTTCGTGCCAAATTACAGAAAAAGCACTGTCACTTTGTAACTATATAGACTCACCTGCATGCACGTGCGTATCGTGCGATCTATTCACTCGTGTTAATACTCCCGCGAGATACCCGACCACAATGATGCATAAACGAAAAGAAAAGACTGCGGCTGATTCTACGATCATCGAATATGCGTCATGTCACTCGTAATAAATGGTCACCGTGCGCAGTCGTAATCGTGTTATATGCGTTCTGTGGTGAAACACAATTGCCGCAGCTGCGCGGGGTAATATATTACGACGCAATAATGCGCTCACTCGTGAATAAAGGCGACCTAAATGATATAAATTGCATGTGCGCGTGGGCGTGCGTACGTGCGTGCGTGCGTGCGTGCCTGCGTGCGCGCGTGCGTCCGTACGTACGGGCGTGCGCGCGTGCGTGCCTGCGTACGTGCGTGCGTCTGTACGGGCGTGCGTTCGTGCGTGCGTGCGCGCGTATGCGTGTTGATTTCATTTCAGTTGCTGGAGCACTGTTTAGAATCTGTTTAGAATTAGTTTTAGAATCTGTGCATGATTGTAAAATATCTTCCACTGCTATTTTACGTTACCCGATGATCGTATCTCAGGTATCCTGTTTTCGAAATCATTAGACAACAACGCCATTATAAATATCTACATTCAACCACACCGAGCGACAGCGATATATTCTCTCTACGCCGCGTTTACGTAATCATACTAACACACAGCGCACGTGATTGCCATCTCATTAGACACCGATGAAATTTCGTATACAATGAATTGTAAAAATGCGAGGTGAGATGCGAGGTTGTAGCGCCATAGACTCTATTCAGTCTCGAACATGAAACCGTTCTATAGCAGGCTAATGACCCCCCGGAATATAGAATTATCATCGTTACCGAATCCGTGTAATTACGGGTAGCTATCGGGCGCGGAAATCGGCGAGTGAATATCAAACCTTGCTTTATTTATCGACAGGTTTCTAATGTGGACGCCCACGAGAAAAAAAATTTGATCAGAGGATAAATTAATCGAAATATAGGCTATATAAACCGCTAAACGAGCTCGAATGGGTTTATTTTGACGTGCAGAGGTCACTGTAAAACTTATTAATAAAACTGTAAAACTTAACAGTTTAAGGTCATTGCTTGAAATAATGAATCTGTTGCTAGTATTGTCTTTCCTTATTCATATAAACGCGCACAATTATAATTTCTGAGCTATAGAATAAATGACATCAGGAGGGAATAATTATAGATTCGATTCTTTCGATATTTAGAGATTTTTATTATTATTCACTCCTGATGACATGTAAACAAGCAGGTACATGTATCAGTAAGGAGCACTGCGATGATCATTTCACTGCGATGATCTGGCCGCTTCCCTCTACCCAACCTCACCTACCTAACCGAAAGGTAAGCGTATAGGCTCTTTACGAATTTTAGCATGTAAACAAGAAAGGCTAAAAGAAGGCATGTTTATATAGATACTAATCTTGCTCTCTCATGAATCTCTAAGGTCTATAATATATACTATACTAATATATATATAATAGTCAGAGAGATTGAGGAGGAGTGCGATGAGAGCGAGCGAGAGAAGAGCCGGCCGAGTAGAGAGGGAGCGAGAGAAAGCAGTGTGATGGCGAGAGAGAGAAGAAGAGAGAGACGCGAAGAGAGAGAGAGGAAAGGGTGAGAAGAGAGCAGGAGAGAGAGAGAGAGAGAAAGAGAGAGAGAGAGAAAGCCGTTTCAATTCTCATTTCTCTTCGGGTAATAAGTGAGAGGGCTTACGGACTTTGTACACTAGCGGAGTACTGCACTGAACAAGATCACTCCCCCTATGCACCTGGCAATATATTGCAAACGATTTTTCACTGAATCGGCCGATGACCGCGGCGTGGGTTTCGGTACATCAATAGCAGCGGTCACGTGCGATGTCCCCACCCACACACACACATTTCGAACCACTAATTGTAATTAAGCTAATTCGCAACTTCTTGAACCGTGCGTGGTCATTAGCATAATGTGCGCATCTTCCAACATGTTCTGCTAGCATCTATGACAAATACGACATACGCATGTACGCTCTTCTATGACACTATTTGTCATAGAAAGATTCTTCCTATGATAGATATTGGCGAGTCAACTTCGTTCCGCTTTACAGCTGAAATTCACTGCTTGCGTTCATAATAGCGCTCCTAAACTCCTATTATGCGCACAACACATACAACAATATTTGTCATAGGAAGAATCTGCCTATGACAAATTGTGTCATAGGAGAGCGTATATGTCGTATTTGTCATAGATGCTAGCAGAACAGGCTGCATCTTCGTGCCTCGCGTACACGGACCGAGAACACATGCTTTTCAGACGTCTCAGACATCTCTGCGACCTTTAACCGCGTGCGTTTCTCTCTAACGAACGCGTTTATGTAGACGCCACCGTAACGGCGCGTGTGGGCGCGCGTGGCTTATATACCCCGAGGCAAACATCGCAGGGCATTGTGCATTGTGCATTGTGCATTGTGCATTGTGCGTGCATCTCCATCTCGTAATCTTATACTGGCGACAGCGTAGATGCGCTCAAAACAAGCCGTTCCGCGGGGAGACAGCGTTATCCGTTACGCGGCTAGATCTGTATGCGTTTCGACGTGCGCGCGCGATAGAGAGAACAATGATGTTGAGTTTCTGAGAGACCTGGCAAATCCTGCCACCCACACGGGCAGCCGGCTAGTCAGTAAATAACACCGCTGTAGCTGTAGCTGTAGCCCCGGTGAGTAACGTGTCACCGTTAAAAGCTTCTTTTTTTTACAGTGCGTAGTATCAATTGTAGTATGTATGAGTGCATATAATATATATATACACATACATATATATATATAGGTGCGCGCGTGCGGGTTTATTCTAATATAGCCTCGCGCATACGAAGCTTAATGCATATGACACCTGTGCTTGTCATGCGGAGCCCGAGTCTTTCTGAACACGTTTCTTTACGTATCTGACGAGGCTTAGCTTGGGGCGTGATATAGCCATAGAGACGATGACATTAGTCGAGAAAAGTATTTTCCCTTCAGTCGTGGATTGTTTGCCTGACGATAACCGTGATTTCCTTCTAGATATAGAAATTAATATAACGTCAGTGTGTATACACGCGTTGTTATGATATCACGAAGCGTCAGATTTAATGTACTTTTTAGCGTTATGGCGTAATGAATTTTGTAGACATTATTGAGAGAAATCTGATTATGGTAGTAAGCACGCCCGTAGGGATGTCACGTAAGTGGGTTTTACTACAAGCAAGTGAGCGGATTTACGAAGAAATGCGAAACAAAGTTTATGCGACGAATTGCGGTAGGGTCCAAGTGACGATCCTGACAGAATCAATAGCCTCAACCATGTCTGCGGTATATGCTGTATCCTACTGCACACCTTACACGTATTTCTACTATCATTTGAGTACTCGGTGTGTTTGAAACACCAATAATTTACATACATAAGAAGAGTGAGTTCGATCCGCATCTGCTACTAACTCTTAATACACCGCAAGCGCGCCAGCATAGTATACCTCATTGAAGAACTCTGGCATGAATGCACTTCCTCCGTCCATGTCCACAGTGGCGACGTCCTCCAATCCATTTTCTTCGTGGTACTGGCTCTGGTAACCGGAAACATTAATAGAACCCACGTAAGAATATGCTCGAGGCAAATTAAAGTTATCACAGAATATCAATATATTGGCATATTTAGGGGTAGCTTTAGAACTATAGCCCTTCGCTCTTCCACGCGCATGTGGGAGAGAGAAGGGCTATAGTTCTAGAGCTAATTTAGGGGGTAAATGATAGCGGAGTATGTCGCGGCAAAACAATGGAAGGTTTACTAACATGTCAAAAGTGCCCATTACGTACTCCTTATATAGTTACATGTTGATGACTCGACGAGATAATGAAATGATTAAGCATCACGCAACGATAAAAACTTACCCGTCTGATGTCAAGAAATAACACAAGCGTGAAACTCACCGCTCGTAGCGCCGGTAGCCTGTCTTTCGTCATCGTGCGGGGAAATCGTGACCGGATGTAAGAACGGAACCGTGTCTTCCGGTCACACGCAGTGCATGATTTGTGATCGGTCCTCGAGCGACAGTCTCAACTTTAACGCGCCGGTAAAATCCGAGTCGAAACGGGAACGTAATCCGGAAATCCGGCCGCGGATCGTCATCGCCCAACGAGTTTGCCGTCCGGCGTCGCAGCTCGATCGGAAACGCAGGGCATCTCTCTAACAGCGTCCCATTTACGATGAAGGAAATACTCGGAAGAAGGGAAAAAGAAATTCGAAGCGAAATGCGTATCGAGTGATAACTCAATGCATCCTACGATGTACCGCATTCCCGCTGGACATTGTGATGCGGATTTCGGTTGTAGCTTTACAGGTGTGCGAGAATACGTGCGTCGCGATAGATGCGTGTGACGGCGTGGCGATGCGATGCCAACTACCCGCCTACTCGTGTGCTGAGTGAATGACACGGCGTGTGTGGGTGTGCAGCAGTAGTAGCGACAACGCGGATGCGATCTCGGCTCGCCTTGCACTGCGCAGTGTCGAACACTGCTGAAGCCACAGCGACAACGTGCTGCCACCACTCTCACGTGGGAGGCTTCATTACTAAACGGATTATCAGAGTAGACGCGTAGGCTCTAAAGATTAATTTCATTAAACGCAAGTCGATGCCTTTAACATATAGATGCTTCGAGAACATTCGATGCTTTTTTGACATAGTTTGACTATTCGTGTTGTATTATAATTTTAAATATATTATAAATTGCAGTGTAAATGACTTTAGGGTGTGTTTAATAACGCTGAGCTGTTTCTGTCGTTCTGGTTCGGTGTAGTCTGAGCTTACTATACGTCTGTGTGTGTCTTCCATAATTACATTAAAACCCAAACATGAGGTGGGGATGGCTATTTTCGTGAAGCGGGTGTTGACCATTTTAATACTCGGAAAATCGGCAAAAAAATCTTCCATAAATGAGGATTCTGGATCCCGTGATTCGTGAGACGCAAGTATCAACCGGAATGCGGGAAGGCCGAACTAGCGAATTTAGTTAACCGTAAACAGGGATTTGACAATGGCGAATGGGAACAAACAAATTCTTTACCTGGGAAACTTGAAATTGTCCCCCTTTCACCTTCTACCAACAGCAGTGTTTACAGTCAGTTATCGACTTGTTTCTTATTTAAATCATGTCTCCGGAATCCGTTTTAGCATTATCATTGTAATTACCTTTGCTAGTTTTATCATAATGGTGACTATTTACAGACAACTTGATTTATGTATAGCACAGCCTGCCTATGCAGATAGGCCTTCATGCTGTTAAACCTTACGTGTTCTATTTCGTGTAGAATCCCCCTAATAGATGGCAGCAGTTGTTTCATGTAGCATTTGTGGAGGCTGCGCATCCTCATCTCTTATCCCAGCTGCGTGTAGACTGGCAACAGCAAACGAATTATCCGTAATGTTAGGCAGCGAGATGAAGATGGCAGCCGTCTAACTACCAATATGGAGTCGCGGGAGTGAGTCATATATTTTGTGTTGCCTCCCTAGTTGCTAGCAGTATGCATTAGAGGCGTCTACGAGTACGCATGTAGTAAATTTAATGTGTGCGTGTTACGTTTCTGGATAGACAGCATAGTTCCGCTTATCTTTCAACAGCCGATAAATTTGTACGCCGTAGGTAAGTACGATGATATTGCGAATCTATGGAAAATTGCTTGGCGAATTAATATTTACATGTTATTTTTTATTTGTGTCCGTCAGCTATGGTTTATGCTGCCAACCTCATGTAAACAAATTCCTTAAATACGCATACATTGCCTCATAGATGATACGTATACAAATATGCGTCACCTAATCGACAATGTCTACACTCAGTAATAACTAAATCGAGCTATAGCACTTTTTCAATGGTACACGAGCTACCACTCTTACGGGACTGTACGAACACAAAGAAAATTACGCAAACAGAAAAAAACCAGCTGCACGGCTACGGAAAACGACAATGCCTTGTTGCTGCTTACGTGCGAGGAAATCAATCGTCGTTTTACTAAACACACAAATGACATATAGTGTTCTTGAAAGCCAATGCAATTAGAGGCTATACTGAAAATTTACTAACCTCTACGTGTAGCGTTTACCTTGTTCAACCTGCATGTGCATATAGCCATTACGGGGACGCCATTTATGTTTAACCCACGCCCACTAACTCTGCACCACAATTGTGTAGAAGTCGCGTTAATTGTGTAGCGTCCACACGGCCTTGTTCAAGGCTCTCCACGGCTGATTTACCAGGAGACACGACCGACAGCTTATAGCCGTCACGGATAACACGGCCGCACGTACGAAGGTCACTGTCGTATCTCGGACGATCCTGAGATGCACCAGCGCGCAGTACTATACGAACAGACGAGAGATATACGTACGGGGGCTGCTCTGGCAACGTGAATAGAGGGAGGAGAGGGAGAAAGAGTGAGAGAGAGAGAGAGAGAGGGAGAGGGGGAGGGGAAGAGTGATCGAGAAAGAATGCGAGAGAGAGAGAGAGAAAGAGATCAAAGGAAGAGAAAGCAGAGAGAGAGAGAGAGAGAGAGAGACAGAGAGAGGAGAGAGAGAGAAAAGAGAGAGTGAGAGAGAGAGAGAGAGAGAGAGAGAGAGAGAGAGAGAGAGAGAGAGACGAGAGAGAAGAGAGGCAGGGAGAGAGAGACGAGGGAGAGAGAGATGGGCAGGGAGAGAGGAGAAAGAGAAAAGAGAGAGAGAGAGAGAGAGAGAGAGAGAGAGAGAGAGAGAGAGAGAGAGAGAGAGAGAGAGAGAGAGAGAGAGAGAGGAAGGGAGAGAGAGATGTTTCTACGGGGTCGTAACTAGCCACGAACTGCCCCCGTCCCTTCCACCGCGCATTACCTATCGTATCGTATCGTATCGTATATTGTCCCACTCTTGTATTTCACAAGGCATCACTTCTGGTGAAGGTGCGAGGATATTCTTGGAATATGAACTTTCATCTCATCATTTTCATTAATTTGTACCTCCAGCATTTAATTCTGCTAATCTTATTCTTTGATTTTCCCTATATTTTAGTAATTTCCTCACGTCGTCGGAAGCAATATTAAGTAACTTGGTATCGTCACATTTCCAGTCTTCAATGGACTCCCCTTTATTTATATCCCCATATTCAAAGCCATTATATAGATGTAACAAGTCTTCTTTTTCTCCCCCACTACACAAGTCACACCTATGATCTAGCGGTTATGTCTACATTGTGTCTTGTCGAATAATGCACGTCGAGCCCCCAGCTGCCCTGAAGCGCGCGGTACGTGCTGACTATAGCTCTAGAACTCTACATGACTATATAATAATATATTTGTCTTTATTAACTCCTGATATAATGTATATAATCTATATGTAAACAAGAGCTTGATGTAAGCAAGAGTACATAATAGAGATTATCTCTATTATGCACTCTTGATGTAATGTATATGACTGTACGTGTTCTAGAACTATAGCCCTTCGCTCTACCACAGCCTGCCTGCCACAGCACAGCCTGCCTGCCACAGCACAGCCCTGTGGCAGAACGAATGGCTATAGTTCTAAGAGCTACATGCTACGCGCATACCTATATGCGTTATGGGTCATCGCCCCCGTGGTTTGGTGCGTACATCCTACGGCGCACGTATGGTGTTCCGAGCTCAGGCTACAGGTATATATACGGTGGCATTATTAGCGGACTCGTGTTTCTTCGTTGCAGGTCGCAATTATTACAGTGATCACTAATAGTGGTGTACCGCTGCGTTAGTGAGGAGGCGTGACACGGCGGGTGATTTGACCAGCGACTGCAGATATCAGTGGGTAAATATTGAGAAAGTTTGTTAACGTGCATGAACTCGATTAAGGTGGAGCTGTCGGTAAATGACGGAAATCTATGCGTTGCGCGCTACATGTGTGTTTGTTCGTCCCCACACCTCTCTCGCTCGCTCTTATTCGCTCTCGCGCTCTCCCTCCTCTCTTATTTCTACAGCTCTCTCTCTCTCCTCTTTCTCTCTCGTCTGCTCTCTCGTCTCTCGATCTCGTCTCTCCTCTCGTCGTCTCGTCTCTGTCCCTGTCTCTCGCTCCTATCTCACCCACTCTCGCAACCGCCAGTTCTCGATCTTCCTTTTCTATATTTTTTCGGTCTCTTCCTCGTCCTTATTTCTAGCAGCTCTGCTCGTCGCTCTCTCTCTCCCTCTCTTTCTCTCTCTCTCTCTCTCGTCTCTCTCTCCTCTCTTCATGCAGCTCGTCGCTCCCTTCTCTCGTCCTCTCCTCTCTTCTCTTCCTGTCTGTCTGTCTGTCTGTCTGTGCTGTCTGTCTGTCTGTCTGTCTGTCTGTCTGTCTGTCTGTCTGTCTGTCTGTCTGTCTGTCTGTCTGTCTTTCCCTTCCTATCTCACCCACTCTCGCACCCCGGTCTCGATCTTTCCTTTTCTATATTTTTCGGTCTGCCTGTCTATTTGTCTGTCTCTCCTTCTCTGCCCCTCTTTCTTCCTCTCCCCTTTTCTCTCGTTCTCTCCCTCTCTTTCTCTTTCTCACGCGCTCTCTCTCTCTCTCTCTCTATCTTTTTTCTTTCTCACTTGCCACCAATTACGTGACAAAAATGTCTTTTTAGTGAAAACCGGAGAGCGAATTCCGTGCGCCTGATTGGCAAACACGTCTGCCGTTGTCACGTGATTATAAATAAACACCGATTTTTGTCCTAATGGGGTTTCTTTGTAGTTAGAAATGTACCGAATCGGCGAACCATTGCAGCCGCATAGCGAGTCATTGATCGTCACAACAATGTTTGCTCATATTGGCCTGCAGCCATCCCCCACCGAGGCCCAACATCACTTCAGACTGCGAGTTCATTGTGTATAGCCAGCCGAGCTACGGTTTGCGTTCGGTCTGTCATAGGCTGCAGATGTTCGTCGCACATGTGTTGCGAGTATGCGTCCTTGTTTGCACAAGACGCAGCGCGGATTTGTAGTCTTGTACCCGAGTCGTACACTCACCCCCAATACGCGAAAGCTCCTTCGTGTGTGGTAAACTGACATATTTTACTTGCTGTATGACATAATCTTCAAGTTGACGTGTGTGTGCGTGTGTGCGTGTGTGTGCGCTATCGCGCCGCCGTGCCGCCGTGGCGCCCGTCGCGTGGGCGTATGCGTGTGCGTGAGCGTGCGCGTGCGCGTGCGTGTGCGTATAATATATATATATATAATTTATTATTTATACGTATATATATATATATATATATGATTAATGATTGATTATCATCTAGTTTCATATTAACGTTCTGCATATATATCGTAGAATAGAGCGAAGCTGCCGCGCTGACTACATGATTCATTGATCAGCTGTCGCAGTCGCATTATAGATGACCGTCTATTCACGCTGCTCGCAAACTGACTGATTTAAGACTTAGTGCATTTCGTTCTGCCTTCGCGAGCTGGCAGATATGATATGGTTCTAAGTGTTTGAGTGATTGTCGATCTCGGTCGATTTAAATCGATAAAGTTGCATCATATTGAAGTGAACTTCATAAGCGATGTATGAAATATTATATAGGCGCTCTAGCAGTCAATCATTTTTCTAACGCAAATCTTGTTGAAGTGATATGAAGCTTTTATTGCCACGCGCCCGAGCCTAAAGCGTCAGGCGCCACTGTTATAAACTACGACACTTCCCACAACCGCACTTTCCGTTTCCTGCACCGTCGCACGTCGTCAGCGGTCAAGCACGCCGACGAGTAGTAATATGTCGGCTGCATCGCGTAATGCGTGAAATCACACTGTATATATATATATTATATCAAGTATTAATATGTTGTGTGTGTGTGTGTGTGTGTGTGTGTGTGTGTGTGTTTGTGTGTGTGTGTGTGTGTGTGTGTGCGTGGCGTGCGTGCCGCGTGGCGTGCGTGCGTGCGTGGCGTGGCGTGGCGTGTGTGTGTGTGTGTGTGTGTGTGTGTTTTGTGTACCACCACCACCATCAGCAGGCAGCAGCACCAGGCAGCAGCAGTAGCCAGCAGCCACCACCACACCCCACACCATCAACCACACCACCACCACACCAGCAGCGCACCAGCAGCAGCAGCAGAGGCACCAGCAGCGCAGCAGCAGCAGCAGAGGCACCAGCAGCAAGCAGCAGCAGCAGAGCGCACCAGCCAGGCAGCAGAAGCAGGCAAGCAGCAAGCCAGCAGAACCACTACCACCTCTAGCAGCAGTAGCCAGGGCCAAGCCCAGCACCAGGCAAAGCAGCAGCAAGGCAGCAGCACCACCACCACCCCCACCACCACACCACCACCGACCACACCACCACCACCACCACTACACACCACACCGACCACCCCATCAGCAGCAGCAGCAGTAGCAGCCAGAAGCAGCAGCAGCACCACACCACCACCCAGCAGCGAAGCATAGCAGGCACAAGCAGCAGCTAGCACACAGCGCAGCAGTAGCAAACAGCGAGCAGCAGCAAACGCAGCCCACACATCACGGCCCAGCGTCAGCCAGAGCCCACGTCACAGCAGCCCAGCAGTGCGCAGTAGACATCAGGCACAGCAATTCAGCCCACCAAGCCAAGCAGCAGAAGCAGGCAGCGAGCAACCAAGTAGCAGCAGTAGGCTAGCAGCAGTAGCAGCAGTAGCAGCAGTTAGCAACAGTAGGGCGTGGCAGCAGTCGGCGCGTAGTAGTAGTTAATTGCGCGCGTCTGGAGCCAGATGGTGTAAATAATGAATCGGTTACTATGGAAACTCATTACATTCTAGTCCCGTCGGCGACAGCGTTGGCGGCGGTGGCGGGTGGTTTGGCGACGGACCGAGCCTGCGGGGAAGGGAGGGGAGACACTCGACGACGATTCGTCACTGAATTCGTCTGTGATTATTACTTTTTGCCAGTACGATGAACATTGTTGCGCATTGTTCTACACTCGACCAACCGCCTGAAGTACGGATTGCAAAATAGTCTGAGAAGAACCTTTGTTGAAAAAATATCAATCATATATATATAGTATGAAGACATGATAATACCAGGAGTGAATAATAATAGATCTATTCTTCACTCTAGAATCATTCTAGATTCACTCTAGAATCCATTACTCGAAAATAAAATCCCGTTGGTGCCAGGGTGGATTAGTTTAAGATTTCACAAGCCTCGTTTTTTGTAGCCCACTCACCCACCCCATCCCCACTCCCACACATTATCACACACGCACACACACACACACACTCTCTCTCTCTCTCTCTCTCTCTCTACACACACACCTACACAACACACAGACACAGACCAAACGCGCGCGCGCCACACACACACACACACACACCACACACACACACACACACAACACACACCAACACACACACACACAACAAGATAGAAGAGAGAGAGAGAGAGAGACGAGAGAGAGAGAGAGAGAGAGAGATGACGTTCTTTGTGTTGTAGCCCCGGCACACACATGTTCCGACTACATCTCCCATCAGCAGCAGTAGCAGCGGCTGGGTGTAGTCGCGTGCTAACCGAATATGCTTCATTACGCGACCGTGGGCGCTACTAATTACGCCGTGAGTCGATGCATTCTGCATTCTGCGCCGCCAGATGACATCAATAACAGCTAGTTCTGCTGCTATACGGCAGGGCTGCGCATGCGAATGAGTACGACGGAGAATGAGTTGATATCGTGATGGATTATGATGGTCCACCGCGACCTCTGTAAGTGCAGTTAGCCGCAGTCGCGCCTATATGATTGAGTTTGATGTGCTGGCGTTGCGTGCGCTGGCGTGGCGTGCGTGAGTGACGTGGAGTGAGTGACGGGGTGGGTGGTGGGTGCGTTGTGTGGGTGGTGTCTGGCTGGGCGGGTGGGTGCGTTCTGAGTGAGTGAGTGAGTGAGTGAGTGAGTGAGTGCTTGAGTTGAGGTGAGTGAGCTGAGATGAGTGAAGTGAGAGTGAGTGAGTGAGTGAGTGCAGTGAGTGATGTGTGCTGAGGCTGAGTGAGTGAGGAGTGCGTGGGAGTTGAGTGGAGCTGAGTGAGTGAGCTGAGTGAGTGATGAGTGAGTGAGTGAGTTTGGAGTGGGAGTGCAGTGAGCTGAGTTTGGTGAAGTGAGTGAGTGAGTGAGCTGAGTGAGTGAGTGAAAAGTGAGTGAGTGCAGTGACGTGAGTGAGTGAGTGACGTGCAGTGAGTGCAGTGAGTGAGTGCCGTGAGTAATTAATTAATTGAGGCTTAGAGGAACGAAGGCGACGCGGAGCGGTAAACGAGCGAGCTGCAGCTGAAAGACAACGCGAACATCCACCACGTCGAAGTAATCAGACACAAGCGGCGGAAAGCGCGACAAAGTGATATATGATCGTGCCTGTGCGCGTGGCCGCTTGGGCAATGGCCACCAGCGCGCAATACAACCCTTAACGATTCTAGCAGGAGACAAGCTCTCAGTAAATTACACTCGGCGCACACGCGCGCGACGGACAGCGGGCGCGGACCAGTCGCTTGTTATTTCCTCCGCGCGGAACACTAAAAGAGATAACCCAGTAAGATACCAGCAGGATACACACCACACTAAGATAGCCATCCATGAGTGTCGCTAAATATAAGCCTCGTTATTGCTGACACTTACTGACACCGGCCCACCAAGAGCCCGAAAACATTACAAGAGTTACTATGAGGCTACTATACCACGCGCGTTCAAATAATGACAAATTTTTGTATTTTATTAAACTCGTGACATCGGCACGTAGCCACGGGCAGATACGTGACGTGCAGCGTGAGGTGTCGTTATCAGAAGGTAGGCGCGGCACGCGGGCGTGCTCAACAAGCAGCTTCAGCGTTTCCGCCGCGACCTGCGACGTTTTGTCCGGAAGTTTCGAGATGTGATTTTTAACGCGAGCGAGTCAACGTGGAACGAGCTACTAGAGCTCCTGTGTGAAGCCAGACTGACTCCACCTCTCGTTAATAGAATGTAACGAAATGGGGCGGTGGGAAAAGGAACGCAGTCTAGTTTCAAGCGCTAGACGAATTGCACAATGTGGGTCTATAGCGCACATACGTCCACCGATGAAGACGATATATATAATATGTATATATATTATAAGGTATGTATAGTATATATATATCAGAGAGAGAGATAGATAGATAGATAGATTAGAGTCAGGATAAGATAGATAGATAGATAGATAGAGTAGATAGATAGATTAGATAGATGAGAGTAGTAGATAGATAGATAGATAGATAGATAAGATAGATAGATGAGATAGATAGAGTAGATTAGATAGGATCAGATTACGATAGATATTATAGATAGATAGACTAGAATAGATATATAGATAATAGCATAGATAGATAGATAGATAGATAGATAGCATAGATAGATAGATAGATAGCATATATGTCCTCTTGTGATTTTAATAATATAATTATATATATATATATATATATATATATATATATAATATATAATTATATTTATTAAATTCATATCTATTAGATGTGGGAGTATGGGGGATCGTATAAAGTTGTCTCCGGTACGCGCTTGCGGCTCCGTCGTCATGCAGCAGCAGCAGAAGGCTTCTGTCCCGTGTACGCGCGCAATTACTATTATGGATTCGGGAGAGCATTAATTTATTGATCTATAATTTATGCGTAGTAAGCCGACCTCCTGGCCGCGTGATTTCATACACCATATACACGCTGTAGAGAGTGTCTCGTACATTCGCATAATAACGGCAGGGGTTGCGGATAAGATACATCGCTAAAATACCTACTCCTTTTACGCCTGTTTTTCTGCCGCTGCGAACACTGCCGCCACGTGAGATGGCTCCTCTCTGTTGAAACCGAGCCAGCCATAAGTTAGAAGTAATTCATGATAGGCTGAACGCACATCTGCAGGGCTGAGCTCCGAACCGAACTGATAGGACGATAACTATACCCAATATGCAATCGATAGCCATATCAATATAACTACCAATACTTTCACCACAACCCCACAATTCTTTCACATATCTGCCCCACGACAACAAATATAACTAAACGTGTGCGCGTTCACACACGCGCGCGCGTGCGCGTGCGCGCATGCGTGCAACGTAGACGCACGCGCGCGCATACACGCACGCGTTCACATACACACATGCGCGGAATATATACATTATTTTTCTTTCTTCGGAATATATCTTTCTTCTCGCTTCATATTATAAAGAGTCCATCATAGAAATATAATATGATAATACTCTCCTTATAAGTAATATCGCGATCTCATTTCTAGTTGCAGCAGCAGCAGCGGCACCTGGCGGGGAAGACAGACACCAGGATGAGCACCGTACTCAGTACTAACCTCGCCGCGCTCGACCGGCTCCTGGACGACCTCAACCGCGCCCAGCTGCAAGCCAAATCTAAAGGTAGGAACATATCCCCACGTGAGCATCACTGCAGAGAGGTCTGTCGTGATGAACGAATGCGTAGTGTGTAATATCAATAGTACATAATAGAGAGTAGAGTAGATAATAGAGAGTACATAATAGCACATAATATCTCTATTATGTACTCTTGATAATATAGACAGATTCATTCTATATATAAGGATTAATAATGCGCCCATTATCCGAGCGTCCTTTATTATCTTTCTGTCGCTCTTCACCCTCGCACTCTATGTCGCAATACGAAACTGTGGCATGGCAATAGTACCTCACACTAGCGTATCTGCACTCTCACGGAGAGCGCACGCACATGCACTTGGAGCGTTTCAATAAAATATAATGCTAAATAAATACGAAATCTATTTACTACCAAAGTCTTAATGTTTCTATACTTTCTTTCACCTACTATTGCCGACAATTTCTTGCAAATGCCGCCCAAATGCTCATCTGCAACAATTTGAACAAACGCTGGCTGCCGCCATGGCTGCCGCTGCACACTGACACATAAATACATAGTTATACACATACACACTATATATTTATGTGTCAGTGTGCAGCATTTGTTCAGTGTGCAGCGTTTGTTCAAATTGTTGCAGATGAGCATTTGGACGGCATTTGCAGGAAATTGTCGACAATAATAAGTGAAAGAGAGTATAGAAACATTAAGACTTTGGTAGTAAATAGATTTCGTATTTATTTAGCATTATATTTTATTGAAACGCTCCAAGTGCATGTGAGCGCACGCACGTCTCGCGATCTTCTCCCGCGAGGTTGGTGCGGGGTGCGAATCGGTTCCTTTCAGACTTTCTCCTCGCAGTGGAAATGTCGCGAGGAGCGAGTATCGCACTACATGTACAGTTGTCTTCACTCGCACAGAGAGCACACGCACACCTCGCGAGCCTACCCCGCGAGGTGTGCGTGGATGCGAATCGGTCCCTTTCAAACATGCTCCTCGCTGCGGGGATTGTCGCCTCTGCTGCCTTCACGGGGAAAGGTGCGGGAATAAACGCACGTCTTCATCAGTAATGACGATTCCCGTGAGACATGAGAGGAGGAGGAGGAGGAGGAGGAGGAGGAGGAGGAGAAAGAGAGACAGACAGAGAGAGAGAGAGAGAGAGAGAGAGAGAGAGAGAGAGAGAGAGACGAGAGAGAGAGAGAGAGAGAGAGAGAGAGAGAGAGAGAGAGAGAGAGAGAGAGAGAGAGACAGAAGGGAGATGATAGGAGAGAGAGTGCGAGGGAGAAAGAGGCAGGCAGAGGGAGAGAGAGGGGGCGTGAGAAAAAGGAGAGAGTGAGTTGGAGAAACAAAAGGAGAAAGGGAGAGAAAGTGAGAAGGAGAGAGGGGGAAGAAAGAGTGCGCGCGAAAGAGAAGGGCAGGGAAAGAGACACACAGGGATAGTGAGAGAGTGAGAGAGTGAGAGAGTGAGAGAGTGAGAGAGTGAGAGAGTGAGAGAGTGAGAGAGAGAGAGTGGAGAGAGAGTGCAGAGAGTGAGAGAGTGAGAGAGTGAGAGAGAGAGAGAGAGAGAGTGAGAGAGGGGAGAGAGGGGGAGGGAGGGGGAACTCATTACTGGTAATGATATCGATGTGTTAATAACGTGCCGTCACTGCGAAGCGGGCTCGCAGCCGCGCGTGCGCAGTCGTGACTCGTTTGCAATATGTGGCAATATTGCAAGATGCAATATGTTTCTGGGACAAGTATAGAAATTCACACTTTGACATTTAACAAGCATTCAGGGACTTTGTCCACTACCGAGTATGCGGGCGTTCTTGCAATAATCAGATGGATTCGTGCTGTTGGTGCATAAGCCGTGTGAAAGTCAGTGTTAAACTTTCTACACACACAGCACGAGCGCACAGCACACGCACACGCGCACGCGCCCACACCCACACACACACACACACACACACACAACACACACACACACACACACACACACACACACAGCACACGACACACACGACGTCAAATTGGTTCCATGGGCTTGTTGCTTTTGATAGCATTTACGAAGTTTTAACGAGGATTGCAGAATCGTTGCAGGATGCAGAGGTTTAGAGACTGCGTTAACGCACGTGAAGCTCTGTTGTGAGAATTAGTCGCCAATGGTGATCGCACATCGCTGCCGTACTTAATATACAACAAGACAAGTGAACGCTGGTCTTTATAGGTGGTTTACGATTATTGAAAATCCCAAATGTGTACAACGAAGACGGCCGAG